CATTGTAACCGAATCTTGTAGTTCAATAAAACATATTTTATATGTAATGAATGAAACATTGAACGGTTTAAAAACTTTAAACATAAATGTAGACACTTGGGATGCTATAGTTATTTACGTAATTTGCTCAAAATTAGATACCGAATCCCATAAAGGTTGGGAAGTAAAAATTAACAGCACGGACGAATTGCCCACGTTGAGCCAATTGCGTGAGTATTTGGAATCTCGTTTCAGGTCTCTAGAGTTTTTAGATACTAAGCAAAAGACCAAATCAAATGTTTCAACCCACAGGCCCAAGCTATTGCACGCTTTTACCAACACCAATGCTATTGAAAAACAAAATTGTTCATATTGTAAGAAGGATGACCACAAAATCGCTAACTGTAAGGAATTTTGTAAAATTAATTATGAAAATCGACATAATTTTGTTCAAACCAATAGACTCTGCTTTAACTGTTTAGGCCGCAATCACTCTGCCAGTATTTGTCGTTTTAACAATAAATGTCGCATATGCAAACATAAGCACCACTCTTTGCTGCACCCTAAGCCTACCTCAGAATCTCAAAGTAGTAGATGTTCCAAACCAGATCTTGCAGTAAAAGTCAATGCCAAGGTGTCTGAAATTCAGACATCATTAGAAAGTCCCAAAAACGCTTCAACCATAACAGCACATTTTTCAAAACAAATTGCAACCAATCAAATTCTGTTGGCAACCGCTCTTGTTAATGTTCAAACAAGAAGTGGCGAGACATGCCTGATAAGGGCGCTGTTAGATCTGGGCTCACAGGCATCATTTGTAACAGAAAATATAGTGCAACTGCTAGGGTTAAGAAAAATACCTCATAGAAGTGATGTGTCTGGACTAGGTGGAGATAAGAGCATTTTAGCCTCTAAACATATGGTCAAAATAAGCATTCAATCTCGCCATGATCCTAGTTTTCGTATCTTAGAACAGGCTCACGTACTAGGGACTACAACTAGCCTCCTTCCGTGTAAGAAGATAGCGCCAATCGATTGGCCGGAGCTAGCGGATATTGCTCTAGCTCATCCACAATTTAATAAGCCAAACAACATAGACATTCTGCTTGGGGCTCATGTCTATACAGGTGATGAAAGATGGCTTAATCAGAGGTCCTAATGGCACACCCACAGCTCAAAACACTGCCTTAGGATGGATTATTTCAGGTCCTACACACCAGCAGCTTAGTGGAGATCAAACTCCATCCACACATTGTTATCATAACAGGATAATAAATATGCACTCTCATATAGAAGAATGAGTTGCTTAAAAAATTCTGGCAGCTGGAATCTGATTCGTTTGGTGACAAAATACTGTCACAAGAAGAATTACGTTGTGAAGAATTTTATGAGCAAACAACACAAAGGGACTCAACCGGGAGGTATGTCGTAAGGCTTCCTTTCCGAGATGAGGATCCACAATGTAAATACGCAAATTCCAGAGACATTTCTCTTAAAATATTCCATCTACTTGAACAACGATTCAAAAAAAATCCTGTGATGAAGTCTAGGTATACTGAAGTAACTCATGAATATTTAAATCTTGGACACATGAAATGTGTACCTGAAGACGACTATAACAGACGTGACTCTGTTTATTTACCTCATCATGCAGTGATACGCGAAGATAAATCGACAACAAAGATCAGGGTCGTGTTCGACGCTTCCTGCAAAGGAACAAATGGAGTTTCGCTTAATGATACCCTTATGGTCGGACCAACTCTTCAACAAGATTTACGTCACATTGTTATGAGGTGGCGTATGCACCCGATCTGCCTGAGCGCAGATGTTGTTAAAATGTATCGCCAGGTACGCGTTGCCAAGCAAGATGCAGAATACCAGAGACTCGTTTGGAGAGACGATCCAGGGTCTGAAATCAAAGAATATGTATTAGATAGAGTTACCTTTGGTACTACTTCGGCTCCTTACCTCGCGGTGAAGACTCTGCAGCAGCTCGCAGTAGATGACGGGACGCAGTATCCTGATATAGCTGAAAAAATAAAAACAGATTATTACGTTGATGATTTAATGACAAGATGTCAGACAGTAGAAGAAGGAAAAATAATATTTGAGAATATGAAGACGTTGTTCAGTAGAGGAGGTTTTGAGTTGCAAAAATGGATAACCAACAATAAGGAGTTAGCAGCAATAGTGATGGATAAAAAGGAAAATCAGGAGGAAAAGAGAGACATACAAATGGACGACATAGTAAAGGTGTTAGGACTTTTGTGGGACAAGGAATCTGATCTTTCAAGTACTCTGTGCAAATACCTGAAATTCAGGAACCTATTACAAAAAGGAGGGTGGTCTTAAACATTTCACGCTTATTCGACCCCTTAGGTTGGGCAACATCTTGCGTTATTACAGCCAAGGTCCTGATACAAAAGTTGTGGCTAGCCGGTATACGATGGAACGAGGAACTACCAGAAGAATTACTAGATGAATGGAATACTTACCAGGCGGAGTTGGTTTACATCACTAACTTACGCATTCCAAGATGGGTGTAAGCTAAAATTGATGATTCACGCGTGGAGCTTCAAGATTTCTGCGACGCATCAAACACTGCATATGCAGCCGTAGTTTACTTACGGAATATGGATGCAAATGGTAGTATTCATGTTCATTTGATTGCTGCAAAAACTAAAGTTGCTCCAACCATGCAGGTCTCTATTCCTAGACTGGAGTTGATGGGCGCTGTTCTCCTAGCCAAATTAATGACAGAAGTTGCAAACGTACTGCGCATTAGCTAAACCAACATACACGGATGGACAGACTCTACTGTGGTATTATCGTGGCTTAGTAGCCACCCCAGTCGCTGGTGAACTTTCATCGGAAACCGAACATCAGAAATCCTATCAAGGTTAGATAATGATCAGTGGGCTCATGTTCAAAAGGCTCAAAATCAGCCGATATTGCATCTCGGGGATACACTCCTTCAGAACTTGATCAAAACGACATGTGGCTTCAGGGTCCATCGTAGCTAAAGAACCAATTAATTACTTATCCAAGACCGAAGTCCATATCAACTGACTTAGAGCAACGAAAGCTAAATACCCACGTAGTCACTGACGCTAGTGCAATTTCAGATTCTTCCTTCTTGACAAGGTTTTCTTCCCTGCGAAAATTAGTTCGCGTTATAGCTTATTGTCGACGATTTATCAGGTACAAAAGGTCTAACAAATTTATAACTAATCTGTCTAGCAACGAAATCAATGACGCACTAGAACCTTGCATTAAGCATTGTCAAGCCACATATCTCGCAGACCACAAGGACAAACTGAAACCATTGAGCCCTTTTCTGGATAGCACGGGAATAATGAGGGTAGGAGGCAGGATCCAACACTCGAGTCTCTCCGAAGATATTAAACACCCCATTATACTTCCCCACCGAAGACGCTTCACGGAGTTAGTCGTTGACGAAGCTCACAAAAGAACCATGCATGGTGGTCCAACTCTTATGCTGAACTATTTGCGCACAAAATACTGGATACTCTCAGCAAAGAGTGCTGTCAAAGGGTATGTGCGCAAATGTGTTAATTGTGTCCGTCAAGTAGCTGCAATAAAAACCCAATTCATGCGCCAATTGCCGGCATGCAGAGTTACGCCAGCAAGACCATTTCTACGCAGCGGAGTGGATTTTGCTGGACCCATCAACATTCGAGTAACTAAGGGACGTGGAAACAAATCGTACAAGGGCTACATAGGGCTCTTCATCTGCATCGTTACAAGGGTAATTCATTTAAAGGTCATCAGCGATCTCACAGCCGAGAGCTTCATAGCTGCGTTTAAGAGGCTTGTTGCCCGACAAGGTCACGTAAGTGAAATTTGGAGTGACAATGGGACGAATTTCATCGGAGCCTCCAAAGAACTTTGTAAGCTTGTCACCGCTAAACAGTCGTCCGTCGCCGTGGAAATCAAAGAGTGGTTGAGTAACCAGAGTACTCAATGGCATTTTATCCCCCCACATGCACCAAATTTCGGAGGTTTATGGGAAGCCAGAATAAAATCGACTAAATTCCACTTAAAATGAATTGTAGGCAATTCCACCCTCACATTAGTTAGCTACACTTTTATGTCAAATAGAGGCGTGTCTTAACTCAAGGCCTCTATCGATGCTCTCTTCTGATCACAGGGACTCTGCACCTTTAACACCTGCACATTTCTTAGTTGGTGAGCCCTTAGTTGTAGTACCTGAACGTAATTACGAGCATAGCAACGTTGGTACATTGAGAAGGTGGCAATTGACGCAAAGAATGGTGCAAGATTTTTGGCGAAGATGGTCGTCGGAGCACCTTGTGCATTGCCCTCAAAGATACAAGTGGTCAAATATTAACCCGGTACCTAAAATTGGGAACGTCGTACTAGTGAAGGAAGATAATCTTCCACCAGCGCGATGGCTACTGGGCAGGGTGATTGCCAAGCATCCCGGCTTGGACAATATTACTCGCGTTGTCACACTTGAATGCAATGGATCTCAAATAAAGAGACCAACGTCTAAAATTTGTGTTTTACCAGTAGCAAACTGATATTGTCTGTATTGTATATTTTGTTTGACCATATTATTTTTAACCTATTACTTTTTATATACTTTACCTTTTATCCTATATTTTGATTATTGTATGTACCCCCTTGACCTCACGGTGGACGGTAATAGAAAGAACGCAGATACATTCTTGGTGGGCGGGATGTTGAACCAAAAATCATAGTGTAATTTATTATTTGTAAAAATGTTTTCATCCGCCGTATCTAGATGGCGCTAGTGGTAAGTTACAGCGCGCTATCATAGTATTATTGTAATTTAATATAGGGTCCACTTTAATTTAATAAATTTGACTTTCTCACTATCGTACTTCCGTGTTTTATTTACCTAACGCGAGTGCAAGTATGGAGATCTGGTAGGAACCTGTTCATTATTTATGTATTACTTGCTTAATATAGACTTATCTGTCTTCTTTCTTCTTTTCCCTGGCTATTGTCCCAATTTAATTGGGGTCAGCCCTCCTAGTAATCTTGCGCCACATCGTGCGATTGTGGGTAGTCGTTTCTGGCATGTTAGTAGATTTCAGGTCGTTTTTTATTGTTTGCAGCCAGGTTATTGGTGGTCGTCCACGACCTTTCTTCCCCTCTTCTATGTTCATAACTTTTTTAGTAACATGGCTATCATCTCGTCTCATCACGTGTCCGTAGCAACGCATACGGTTTTCTCTAAGCTTCTCGTGCACCATAGCAACCTTGAATCTACCATGGATATAACAGTTTCTTATTCTATCCATTTTAGAAACTCCTCCTGACCAACGTAACATTTTCATTTCAGTGACGTGAAGTTTTTGTTCGTCCGTCTTTCTCATCGGCCAGCACTCCGATCCATATAGCAGAGCTGGTCTTACTGCTCTTTTGTATATATTGCCCTTTATTTTAATAGGCATACGGGAGTCGCATAGTACACCAGACAGCGATCTCCATTTTAACCAAGCTGTTTGGGTTCTGTTTTGTATATCTCTTTCTGTACATGCCTTTGGTGCTACAATGGATCCGAGATACTTAAACTCTTGAGCTCTTTCAAGAGGTCGACCTTCGATAGATGGACATGGAATAACATCCATTTTGGCACCAGAAAAGTTACAGTACATGTATACAGTCTTCTCTCTATTCACTCTCATCCCTCTTCTTTCTAAGGACTCCTGCCATAGTGTCAGGTCTGATTGTACTTCTGTCAACGATTCGGCTATGAGTACTACATCATCAGCGTATAGAAGTGACCACGGTGCTGATTTCTGAATGTCCATAGTGATATAGTCCATTACTAGGTTGAATAGGAGAGGGCTAACGGTTGAGCCCCGGTGAACCCCCACTCCAACTTCAAGTGGTTCACTTTTCCCTGCTGGGCCGACCACTTTTGTTGTTACGTCGTGGTACAGATCTTTGAGGAGCTCAATATAATGTTCCTGCACCAACTGCGCTCTTAGTGCTTGCCAGATTAGCTCTCTAGGAACTTGGTCAAACGCCTTTTCGAGATCAATGAAAATAAGGTGAAGATCTTGTTTGCGTGACTTGTACTTTTCCATGAGTATTTTCACTGAGTGAATTGCATCTATGTGCCCACTCCACTAGTGAATCCACACTGGTTTGGTGTAATTTTTGTAATTTTTGATAGTCTTTTTACGAGGACACATTCCCAGATCTTAAGGGTCTGAGAAGTTAGTTTGATTGCTCTATAATTTCCACAGTCCGCGACATCCCCTTTATTCTTGTAGAAGGGTATCAAGTTGTTGTTTCTCCACATATCTGGTATTTTGGTGCTTATAAGAATTATGTTAAATAGGTTTGTCAGCCATGCTACGCCAGTATTGCCCACCTTTTTCCATAGTTCAGCTGGAATCTCATCCGGTCCGGCTGCTCTCCTATTTTTCATTTTTTGGATGGCTGCTTTTACTTCCTGAGGTGAAATTACTTCAACTGGTCCCTCCGTGGGTCTGAGGAATGTGAGTGGTTCCTGTGGAAATTTTTCGTTCAATAGTGTTTGGTAGTATTCTCGCCACCTATGATTAATTTCTTTGTCTGTGGTTAACAATTTACCCGATGAGTCCTTGATATATTTGTTGCGTTTGATATCTTTTGTTTGGTTATTTCGGCGTTTTGCTAATTAAATATTTCCGTCTCGGATTTTGCGTTTTCTAATTCTTTGTAAAAGTGATCTTTGGATAATGCTCTTGTTACTGCAACACATTTTTTAGCTCTCTTTTTTATTATATTGTAGTCCAGTCGATCGCTGTCATTTTTTGATTGTTGCCATTTCTTGAAAGATTCTTTCTTTTCCAACAACATCAATTTAACATTTTCATCCCACCAGGTAGGATCTTTATTAATCCTCAATTTTCCTCTCGTAATACCTAGGGTTGTTCTGGCGGTTTTTAGGCAGAACATGTGAAATTCGTTCCATAGAGTGTTGCTATCTTTTGTGTGTAGAAGTGTCTCTTTCAAGTATGTATCAACCTGTGCAGTAAATATAGTGCCCTCAGCGTTGTGTATGTTATACCATTTTATGCGGGGTTCATGTTGTTGATATTTCTCTTTTACATTCCAGTTTGGCATTTTCAAACAGGTTACAAGTAGTCTGTGTTGGGTTGTTAGTGGGATCCCTGGTATAACTTTGCAGTCCTTGAAATTGCGAAGAATAGATCTGTCACAGAGAAAAAAGTCTATTTGTGAGGTCGATCCACCACTTTTGTAGGTTATGAGGTGTTCATCTTTTTTTTGGAAGTAAGTGTTAACGATCGGGAGATCAAATTGGGTCGCTAAATCTATTATATCCTGACCTTGGCTATTAGAGATGCCATATCCAAAATTTCCATGTATGTTTGAGTTTTCAGGTGCTTTCATACCTATATGGCCATTCAAATCCCCTGCTATAATTTTTTTCTCGTCTGAAGGTATGGTTACGAAAAGGTCTTCTAAGTTTCCCCAGAACAGATCTTTTTCTTCATTACTACATCCAACTTGAGGGGCATATACTGAGATTATGTTTAGCGTTAATAAGTTGTCCAGAGCTAATTTAACGTACATGATTCTATCGCTTATTCTTTCTACCTTGATTATTCGTTGTTGCAGTATTTCGTCGAGTATGATGCCGATTCCGTTCCTTGTCGTTGATGTGCCGTTATACAGTAGTTGATAGTTTCTACCAATATCCCTGGATTTTGACCCTTTCCATTTAAGTTCTTGTATACAGCAGATATTAATATTTCGTGCATGCAATATGTTTGATAGTTCTTGGCTACGTCCAGTCAGGGAACCGATGTTCCATGTAGCTATACGCAAATTATTTGCGCTGCGTCTTTTTTCGTCGCTTACAGGGGACGCCTTAGCATTTTTCGCTTGGGATCGTATCTGGTCGTCGCTTGAGGGGTACGCCCTAGCCCTTATACTTTCTCTTTTATGTTGTGCTTTCATACTAGGAGAATGTTTTGTTTTGGCATTGTATTTTTACAGCCGGTTGCCACCTGACGCCAAGACTGTCACCCCCTTCCAGGGTGAGGGCGCCGCCGTTGACTCGTCATGAGCTCCTCCGCCGCCGTCCCTTCTGTAGTGCTCCAGCCTAAGCACTCAGCACTGCTCACGACCTTAACTCCAAATATGTTAAAGCAGCTCGTAGCAGGGGTTTGATAACGGAGTTTCCTTCTCCGGCCTGTTGGTCCGCGGGAGGTATTTTATTTCCCTCCTACCCGGCTGTGTCGCCGAGCGTTCCCCTATCCGCCGCCTGGGGACGCGCTCTCTAGGTGTGAGGCTCACCCGAGAATATAGATTTATCTGTATCTAAAGTATATGTACCTTTATAATAATATTTATATAACTAATGTTTTATTTAACTTTATTATGTAGTATAATCTTTCATAAATTTATATTTATCCATAACTCTTTTTTGTTAATAATATATTTATTTGTGTAAACTTATTTTTTTAATTTAATCTATCGGAACACCATAATGGATAAAGGCCTTCTCCATTGATGCCCATTTGACTTTATCTTGAGCCACTTGTCTCCAGTTTCCAATTAATACATAAACAGAGAACCGAATATCGATGTTAAATCTTGTTGATATTTTAGCTTGTATTTCTAACTTTTACTAATGTCGATGAATATCTATCATCAACATGCTGCCACTCCATTTATTTATTTCCTAAAATCAATACTGTATATTTTTTTTACACCTAGTTGAATAAAGTTATCCCGTATATGTTCCCGAGTTCAAAATTTTAATTAAACGTGAACTCTCTTTGATTTTTGAATCCGACAAACGTATTCGAGGCTTAGATACTTGGCTTTTGGCTTGAGAGGTTTTTCCTTTTCCATTTCCGACTGTTCTGTCATCGTTGCGATTCTTGTATCGTTATTTATTGCTAAACGTAGTCCTCATACAAAGCACGCTTATTTAATTTCCTCTCAGTAAACTGGTTACAGTTTCTGAGCTAATAGCTGCAGTGGAACAAGTTTTAAACATGTAACGATATTAGTGGTGTTGTACTGTATAACTGTTTTACAGCCTAAATATAACAGTTATATTGTGGAGAATCTAAATATGATTACTGCTGTTTTACTCAATGGTACACGTTACCGCAAACTGAATGAAAGTTTTCAGGTTAGTCGAATTTATTTTAATTTACTTATTCATTATTCAGTTAAATACACCCCTTTTGTTAGTCCACTTAATCCTAGTGATTAGTAAATTAACAAAAGTTATTTTTATTACACATACTGGGCATGGAACCCATAAACACTGTGTTCCAGTGCTAAGGCAGTCTTAAGTGACAGGACAATCTTTATGCCAAACCTTATGAAAAAATCGCCTTATGACAAACAAACAAAAATATAAAAAATGATTTATCATTTTTGAAGCTCTTTTAGAAAATTTAGGCAAATTTTCGATTAAATTTTTTTTAATGATAGTAGATTCTAAGATTAAAGCTAGTAGATATTACGAAAGGTTCTAGCTACGTTGATATTCCTAAAATGACGCAGAGTTGGCAGCGCTGAATTGCAATGATGTCATGCGCGAAAATCTGATTCCCTTTAGAGCTGCATTTGCTAATTGGATTAAAATTGGACCAGTAATCTCTCTTTTGCAGAAGTCCCGGTGTAGTATAGGTTAAATGCTGCTTTTAAAATTTTTAAGGGTTTTTATAATTAAAAAAAAAACTAAAACTAATAACTTAATTATCATACATCCCTACTTCTGTGGTATCATGCCAAGAACGCTGGCTGCGTTTTCTCGATGAATGGCTATACTTAGCCTTTGAGCGATAAAAAACTAGCCCTCTTATCAACAGCAGCAACAAGCAGTCGCTGATAGAGTTCCTTTAGGAACTTCACCGCACATGGACCCCATGGACCGATATTCTCTACGGCAAATATATAGTCATCTCCCAGAGACTCATATTTGTGCCACTTACTCAATTCAGCTGCCTCTGATACCACCCCGGCTCTAAACGAGGTGCCTCTGAGATGATAGGCCATCAAAATGTCTACGCAGGTAGTATCCCATACTAGGGCTTTACCTCATACCGTCGGGTCTCTTGAAATCGTTTCTAAATATTCCACAACGCTCTAAAACCGAGAGAACATTTATAGAGACAAGAGCCCAACTTCTGTATAACATCAGGGCTCGGCTGGCACTGTCGGTACACAGGCGTTTACGCACACATACGTACGTATTATTTTCAGAAATAAGAATATGCGATTTAAAAAAATCTATTGATTAGACTAAAAGATTAAAACCCTATTACGGTAATATATTAGTATGGTTTTAATCGTTAAAAGAAACATTTAGAGGTATATTTGTAATTTTTTCTATCGTATTAAATTAGTAGTATCACGTTTTCAACACACTATCTGACTAGCACATATCCTAAAAATATTATATATTTTTCTGATTTTGTTTACTGTAGTGTATCATATATTTTAAGGAATTATAAAACTTGTGTTTAGTTCCTTTATTCCCCTTTACAATTAAATGCAGAATTGTTATCACCCATGAAGACTAAAATGAAAAAAAAAGAATTATTTCAAATGACGCTTCATTTTAATAGACGCTAGTAATTAATTTATTTGTATTTGTTAATCAATAACATAATACCTACGTTTATCAATAATAATATACTACGCAAGGAACTTCGTTCTAACCGAGTGTTCCACGACACTCACGTTTTTTTTAATTTTTTTAAAGATCCCCTGGGCTTCTTGCTGGTCCTTCCCAGGAAAAAGATTATTTCAAATCATGGTACTGCTTAAATTACTTTCAATAAGTATACTTGTAATCTATATTGTATAAAAAAGCCTATTATATTCCATTCTACCACTTATGCTATCTTAAATGGTGCTGTCACGTGTAATAAATTTAAATAAGCAAAGTACAGTTGCAGTCTATTGCAATGCTGGGTACAGGCCTTCTCTCATATTTCTTAACGGGTCATACAACAACAATTAGTCAGCCGTGCGGCCTCAGTTAGTGTTGACATATTTCCCTAAATCAGTCTTAGCGGTCAGCCACCGCAGAGTCTACTTCACCTGAGGATGCCAAGTGTAGAGGCGAAACGTGTCATATTATCGTTGGTGTCGTCTTTTCTAGTGTAGAAGTGTTGGGAATAGTGGTGTAGGGATTAGTGGTGATGGGGATAGTGCACGCATTGAGGGAGGGCGGGAGATGCACTTCAAACTAGGTAAGTTGATCATAGCAAGTTAATTTTTAAAATCAGGACAGGTAGATAAATCTTTTATTTGTTTCTATAATCATATAGGTGAGTTCTGTGACTAAACTATGTACTTACTTATTACAAAAAGTCACATAACATTAAGGTCTGTGTAAAGTTCATGTGTGTTGCAGTTTAACAAATGAGTCCTAGCTCAGCGATTAGTATTGCTAAAGGGAGCAAATACAGATTATCGGCTATTAATGTCCTCGAATGGCCGTCACGACGACCAGTCTCAACATAGACTAGCCATCAGCGCAGGAAAGGATTATAGTAAACTAATGTAGGCGTAAACACAAGAGCACTTTTTATTCCCTCACTCTCATAGACCGGCGGGTCGGTAATCCGACAAAACCGGAGAGAGATGAGGCGTTAGTCCAACGGTTTTACGAGCTTACCGAGGCATGAGGGTGAAACACTGCCAACTTCCTCACTCTGGTCCTCTTTCTTGATGACCAGCAATCGCGGTTACGTCCTTTAGACCAACAAGGCAATTAGTTCAGCTATTACCCTCGAGATGATGACACGAAAATGAGGTATAAACGATATCCTTACTATGTTATTGCTTAATTGCCCAGCACGTGGTAATACATCAACTAAACTTGCAATTAACAATTTCATTGGTACCAGTGGAGGTCGAGCGCGGGTTATTTGCATACCTTACATACTTGAACGACCACAGCCCACTAGCGGAATAGTTTGTTCAATAAGATAGAGTTGTTACACCAGGAGGCGCACTTATTAGTTTCCTTTTACTTTATTATTTTTATTGTTTGTTAAATAAATGTTTTTCTATTTTAAGAATAAAAAGAATACTATTTTATTCTTATGGTTACTGCTATAAAATACGAATATTAAGAATAAACACAAGCAAAGAATCTTTCACTATGGTGCTTCGTTTTAAATTGCCAAATTCTCTTGCAGGTGTACGCCGCATGCGGCGACCTTTGAAGTTGCAGTGGCGCCTTTGATAAGATGCGACATGACACAAAGGCGATCGTGTCTAGGCGTACAGACTATAATATATTCCATTACGGTCTATAAAGTTACTGAAAATAGGCCTCTTCCATAGATTGCTTCATAGGGGCGATTTTGCCATTTTAATTTGTTATCAAGAAGATGCTGCGAGACGATATGGAGATGGTGGATATTCCGCTAATCGTTTTAGGTAAAAATTACAAAAAAGCAGTAGAGTTTTATGAATTGATTATGATAATGCTGAATAAGCAGAATTTAGTTTGTTAAAATTCATTTTTTTATTTATTTCCCCAATCTTGTCGGTTATAATTATATTATATTCAGTTTATAAACTGGGTCCTAAAAGTAGATAATATCGACATCAGATGGGACAACCTGCCTAAAAGAGATTTTCATAATATTGCTGGTATAGGTACAAAAGAATAGCGTCGGCACATTTTTCAACTAAACCTCCTTACAAATTATGTCAAATAAATATAAATCTGCAGGGAATGAGATAAAAGAACATATACTGGCCATGGATAATGTGGTAAAGTCCTGCAAATATAACAAGGAACGTTTTGACTCCTTATTAAAATATCAAAATGAATATCAGCGCTCACTGCCAGGTTCTTTAGTGATAGTGTAAGTTAATAATATGACAAGCAGTAATACTTCATTTTCTTTACCTACACTCTATGATAGTACCATAATAAAACAGATAAATTTAAAAACGAATTCATAAAATGA